GGGGGGGGGGGGGGTGATGTTACATCACTGGGGGTGAGCACTGGGAAAGGAATAACCTTTATTTGTTTGGGATTTCTGCTTGTTCCGTGTGTGGCTGTTTTCCATTTGGCCACTCATAAGGCCTGAAAGGGCATCCAAGACTGGAGTCTTTCCGCATTACACGGCTCATTGTCCTGGAAATCCCTCACACCTCCAGAGAGCCCAAGGAAAATGTGTCCTGCAAACTCCTCCAGCAGAGCTTCTCCTTAAAGCAGACCTAAGACACACCCACCTGGGGTGGCCTATGAGGGTGTTCACTCACTCTCACTTGGTAGCTTTTTCTAAAAAGGTGAATTTTTGGTTGCTTTTCCCCCCAGTATCCACACTCATGGCAAAACCAGATGGTATGAGGTTGCAGGAATCCTACCACAAGCATGAGGACACTTGGTACAGGGCATGAACCACAGAATCCTGGAGTGGTTTGGGCTGGAAGGGACCTTAAGGACCATTTCCACCGCCTTGCCACGGCCAAGGACACCTTCTACTAGACCCAGTGGCTCCGAGCCCCATCCAGCCCTGCCTTGGACACTTGGATGTCTCAGCTCCCTGGGCAGGATCTGTAGTAGGATCTGGCACCTGGCCACGTACCTGACACTGTGTAGACAGCAGTGATGGCCAACAGCCCTGCCACGGCGATGTAGAGGTCCCAGTGCAAGGCCTGCTGGATGAACAGGGCCCCAGCATACATATCAACCTGGAGAAAAACACAGTGGCACAGTTGCAATGATGAACATTACCAAGCCTCTCAGAGCATGAACATTTTGGTGACCAACCCATCTCCTTTATGGGAACCAGTCTGGTTTGAAACTGCTCATGACCCCCCAGCTCCCTGCAGCATCTCCTGCCTTGCAGTGGGACCAAGCCCAATTCATTCTTTAGCCAGTTTATTATCATTACTGATCACGGGAAAGGCAGTAAAAGTGATGATGGAGCTGTCACAAGAGAGGGGGAGTGTGCACAGCTCTCCATGAGAAAGGCATTTGGATGGGATGAGCTTATCTCTTCCCAGTGGGAAGAACTGGGCTGGCCTGGGGACTGGGGCACCTGCTGTGCAAACCCACCTGGTGTCTCAGCCACCACACTCTCAGCACCCATCAGCCAGAATGAGAATTCCTCCCTGCTGACATGGGTCAGGCACATCATAAGGCAAAGTGTCCTTGGGGCTGGGCCAGCCCTGACCAACCAGCTCTGCAGCTACGTGAGAACTTTGAGGTTTAGGAGAGGTTAGGACAGACAAACATGGGAGGACAGACAGCTATAAAACATCCTGAGTGCAGGGATTGTGTTATCAGAGATTTCATCAAATGGTCAGTGTTAACTAGTGGAGAACCTGAGCCTTGCTGCTCAGTGCCACCTCAACCCCAGGACTTGCACACATTTCATACAGTCCTGGAATGGTTTGGGTTGGAAGGACCCTAAAGCTCATTTCATTCCACCCCCTGCCATGGGCAGGGGCACCTTGCACCAGCCCAAGTTGCTTCAAGCCCCATCTAACCTGGCTTGGAATACTTCAGGGATGGAGCAGCCTCAGCTTCTCTGGGCAACCTGTGCTATCTTTCAGTGTAAAGCCATTCTCCCCTGACAGAAGTTTCAGGGGGTCAGAGGCAGGGTCAGACACCACGATCTGTGTAGAGGAAAAACCCCAGCAGCCTCGGTGTGGTGTCACAGTCTGTGCCTGCTGTGGTTAATGAGCAGCCACCGAGGGGTTGTGCAAGGGTTGATTCAGTTATTTATTCAAACAGCTGCAATAAATCACTGAACACTCATCTTCTAACCCTGCACCAGCTCCTCCATCCTTCTCCATCCTGCAATAACAGCACCTCGTGTCTGCATGGGCAATAAATGTGATAGGGGGAGAAACTGGGTGAGCTGCCAGAGGTGCAAAAGCTAACAACCACCACATCCATACTCACAGCTCCACCTTTGCTATCAGCTGTTGCTCAGGGCACTGACACAAGCCTTTCCTCCAGCTCTATCACTTATTACAGTGCTTTATGGGCAAAAAGAGGAGTTATTCTGTTTGTGTAGGTTCTCAGAACAACTCCAGTCCCTTCCTTGGGCATCTTGATAGTAAACTTTTCTCTGCTCTCCAGGGAATGGCTACTGCTTGCACCTCTCAGTCACTTGTTTCCAAAGTGAATTGAATCCAACATTTCCATTTTTTCTACTCACTGATATTTTGGTGAAGATGTAGATGAACAAGTAGAGAATTGCCAGAAACACCTGAATTCTTTTGCCTCCAAAACGTTTCCTCAAGTACTCTGGCATGGTCGTGACCTATGGAGAGACACAGCATCAGGGAAGGTGGGACAAGGTCATTCCCAGAGCTGCCAAGGGCTCACCCATGGAGCTGTGTGGGTGCTTTGCACTGGCAGAAGAGCAGAAGGGTTCTGATGCCTGCCCTGGGCTGGTATGTGGTTCCCAGCTGCCTACTTAGGCCAGCACAGCAGCTCATCAAGCACTGACTTTGCTGCGATGTGTGGCACAAGGTTCACTATAAACCACGACACGTCTGCATCCATCTCCTCGGGAGACGGAGTGACTTTACTCATTGCCAGGGGTAAGAGAGCAATCTGCCCCCCAAATCCACAGTGTTGGTCCCAGTCAGCACCTCTCCTCCCCATTACCCAGGGCACCGGAGCAGCCAAGTGCCCCAGGATTGACTCCAGGAGCAGCACAGGAGAGGGTTAAGCCCATGAGCCACACAGGTGATTCAGGTACCAACACTCCCTCTACTCACCCCTGATGCTATGTAAATGGGGAGGAAGAGCCAGGCCAGCACCAGGACACAGAACATCCCCTGCAAAGTGAAGGGAGATGAAGGTCAGGGTGGTCCAGGCTGCGATGGGGTGGACCACACGGACACGGGGACTCAGCCCCCAATATCTGGTGTCTTCTGGCTTGTTCAGCAGATCCTGAGTGCTGGCACTGCCAGAGCTGCACCCTTGTGTGGTGACTGGTTGGAGCTGCCCTGTAGAGCACAGAGGACTCCCAAACACTGTGCCACACTCACGTTCCACTCGTAGGCTGTTTTTTTTTCCAGACCCAGCCAGGCCGATGAAGTGGCCACTCCCAACGTTGCTAGCAAACAGGGATGCACCCACCTGGGGAAAGAGAGAAAATCAGATCTGAGCCTGGCACAGGGTATCCTTCCCAGCCTGGGGAGCACAGCGATGCTGCTCCCCCTCACAACCATGGGGGACACGAAATGCTCATCACTCTCTGCCATCACCTTCTTTTGCCTACAAGTTTAATGGCTCTGGCATCTCTCTCCAGCTTCTTTACCATTCACTGCCTAGTTGTGGGCATGTTTAGCACCATCCTGCTTCCAAAATAGGCTCTAGTCTCTCTTGGTGGGTAGGGAGCAGGGCAGTAGGCAGAGGTCATCAGGTTCTGGTGTCAGCACATACTGAGAGCCCAGCCCAGCCTAAATGAGCCAGCCCAGACAACAGACTGGCTCAGCACAAAGCTGTGTCCATGCTGGGGAATCCCCAGTTCATTCTGGAAACCTCCAGACATTGCAAGGCATAAGTCTGGCCCTCACCATCCACTTCCCCAGTCTCAGATCTGAGGGGAAAAAAGAACCAGTATATAACTGGGACTTTGCAAAACATGGGAGTAATGTTTATTTAGTCATTGCTGTCTGGAGAAGTAAACTCTGCTTGGGCAGAAGCCCTTGTCAGCCCTGCTGGGCACAGGGGCACAGGCAGGGTGATGGCACAGATACTCACAGGCCACCAGACCATCTGTCCCCCGGCGAGGAAGTAACCTTTGACAGTGCTGCGCTGCGTCTTCCACATGGACTGGGGAAGCAGAAGAGAGGCACATGGCTCAGCCATCGTTTCAGTGGCTGCTCAGGGCATCACCCAGAGATTTCCCCACTGGGAGACTCTGAGCTGTCATCAGGTGGAAACCAAGGGTTCCCTGGAGGACAGTTGCTGCTGGGAGGTCCTGGGGGATGAGGGCTGCGATCACCCAGGGCTCTGAGCCACACACAAAGTTTTCCATCATCTCAGCATCCTGATGGAATGTTTTCTGTGATAAGCAACTTAAATCACTGCAAATCAGAAAGGAAGGCAAACAGTTTTGGACAAGAACTGTGGACATGGAAAGGAAATAATTTGGGACAAGAGCTGTGGAATCCCTAGGTACTAGGCACAGCCTGGACAGACACTCAGCCTTGCACATATGGCTCATGGACTTCTCCTCCTCAGAGACAGTTCATGCAACAGCCTGAGAGTTATGCACCACATTTGAAGGGAGCAGCTCTTCATCTCTGACTCCTGACCAGGTTGTGCTGCTGCTGTCACAAAAGCCATGCCAAAGGATGTCCTCCTGCTTTAAGTGTGTACAGGCAGTGTTTTAAATCGATGGAAACTGCTGTCAGACCCCTGTGGACAAGCACAGGTGATTTATAGGACAGCAATTCCTTCCTGAATGAACAAAGCATTATTATTAGCAATACTAATAATACTTAGCCTCTTCCTCACCAGGGTTCTCAAAACCTTGGCAAACACCAGGCTGAGGAGCTCTCCTCTGGGGCAGGGAGGGCACTTCCTCAGGCTGAGGTGAGGAGAAGGACCTGTAAACTCCCTGCTCAGTTGAATCCAGTGAAGTGCACCCTGACTCCAGCCAAAGTAAAATAATTTGAGCCCAAACCATCCATATTTTTCAGCATAACAGGCACATATGAAATTTTATAACTTGTTTGCTTACCCACAGACCAACTGCAAGGACGAACAGGAAGTACAGCACGAGGACAGCAATGTCTATGGGCTCCAGAGTCTTCTGGGGAAACACATCCCACGAGGGGGTCACAGAGGTTGGGGTGATGCTGGTGGGCTCCATGGCTTCTTGGGCAGGCTGAGAGCTTCTTTGTCTTGATGCATATATCTGTTAAAAATGGTGACATGGTTAGAGCAGGATGTGGCAGCACCAGGAAGGTGCTGACTGTTCCTTCACCATTTCAGGGCTCTCAGCTCTGGCTCTGGCTGCAGTGCTGCTTGTGCTGGAGCTCTGGGGAAGGATCTTGTCTCTGGGGTTTGCCTTCATCCATGACTCCCTTTCTGTGCTGTGGAGATGCTGCCAGCAGACAGCCCAGTGTGGGTTGGTGGTATTTCTTATACAATCTTCTAGCTGGTGAGAAATGGAGGCATTAGAGAGAAGGTGTAAACAGCTGAAATGGGCAGAGGAAAGGATGAGGACATGGCCCAGCCAGTCCATGGTTCCCATGTGGCAGCGCTGCAGCACTGGCTTTGATAAGAAGCTGCTGCCAGAACTGTGTCCACGATGGGGTGTGAAGGCACTTGGACTGCTCCAGCAGTGCTGACATGTTCCTCCTTTGCCACAGCAAGAGCTCAAGCCCCAGTGCAGAGTGCTTGGATCTCCTCCCAAGTGAGGCCAATGTCCAGTGAGTGAGCTCTGCCCTGCGCTCTGTATCAGCAACATCCAATCACAGGGATGGATGTGCCCTCTGCCACACCAGAGCAGGCAGTGGGGATGAGCAGTAAGTACCCCCAGTACCCAGAGCAACTGGCACCAAGCGGCAGAAGAGTCAGTGGTGGAGCTGGGGCTCACCCCTCACCGAATGCAGATGGATTTCCTGCAGGTGTGTCCCCTCATGTGCTTCCACAGGAACAAAGCCTCATTTTCTTCTCCAGAAATGCCTGATGAGGAGATGTGGCACCACTGTAGGATCCCCAGAAGGGCTCCCTGGAGCCCTATAGAGCTCTCATGTTACCAGGCTGCTGCCCTTTGGCAGGAGCGGGATAAAGTCCAGGGCAGGAGGTTGGTCCGGTGTCTGAATTAATGCAGTTCCTCCTCATTTCCTCCTCCCCTCAGCTGGGCTCAGTCATGCTTTGAGAGCAGAGCAGAAGGCGAGTGACAGCCACAGTGTGGCCAAGGCCACATCAGACAGTCCCTGCCTGGACGTGGCTGCTGTCAGTCCCCAGGGAACCCTCAGTGCTGCATGGGAGCAGGTTTGGGATTATTCCTCTTACCCCACTGAGCTGAGGAGGTGGTTCCTCCAAAGAGGAGCAGAGCCAGCACTCACCAGCCTTGGCACAGCCTCACAGCCAACTCAGCCCCGGGTCCAGTCCTGGCGTCACTGGGACGCCTGTGCTGGGTGCCTGCTGTTCCCTGTCCTGTGCAGCTGGCCAGGTCCTTTGGCCTCTCTTTCACTTGCAAGGAGACACTTATAAGCTCCCCCCTGGCAAAGAGCTGAAGAAGGTGGGGCGAGAGGTGGCCTGCACTGGCCTGGGGCACCCAGCATGGATGGTCAGATGACAAGCGGTCAAACAAGTTCTTCCTCTGAACATCCAGTGGGCAGCAAAGCCCAGACAGGACAGGACAGGACACCAGCCTGTCCCACAGCCACATGTTTCATTCACAACTGCCAGCTTCAGCCTGGGTCCAGGTGCTGAGCTGCAGCTGAACCTGCCTTCAGCTCACCTGTGGCCTGAGGACCTGCCCGGAGTGCGACTCAGCTCTGCTCCTGCACCAACAGCACCCCTGGGTACAGCTGCTCAGGTGGGTGGACCAAACAGAGAGGGACTGGAGTGACAGGTGCTGTGGTGACAAAGGTGCTGGCAATGCTCAGAAGGACAAATCCTGCCCGGTGTCCCCTCTACATTCCATCCTGAAGCCCAGGCTGTGCCTGGACCAGCACTGCTGGGATCATCGATTTGCCAAAGCTCAGGCAATGGAGAGTTTCCAGCTGCAGGTACCATCCCACCCCATCACCTGCTTCCCATAGCTGGGGGTTGTAGCCCGAGACAGCAACAGCCTCCAGCACAAGAGCCAAAGATGCTAGAGAGCCATGTTCTGGTTGAGGGCAGCAGTGGCAGCACCAGGGTGGGATCAGGGACTGGCAGCACCTTGGCAGAGCCTTTTCCATGCCTTATAAACTCCCTGGATCCCACCAAATTCCTTGGGAGCTTCTGCCTGGCAATGAGGCAGGACACTGATGACCAGATCAGTGCTATCTTATGCCTTTAAGAAGCAATGTGTCTTGGCTGCTGCCGAGTTTTTACTGGCATGCTAAACCTCTAACTAGGAAAAGGAAAACAGGTTTGGTATGTGAGCCTGGGGAAGCTGCTAACCTGCTCCAACACCACCGATTCTCCCTCTGATACTGCTGTTTCTTTCCATCCCGAGACACTTCCCACCTCAGGACCCACAGCAGGGAGTCAGAGAATCACAGGATCATGGAATATCCGAGCCAGAAGGGACCCCCAAGGAGCATCACAGCCCAGCTCCGGGTGGCACGGGCAGGACAGACAGTGCTGCGGCTCCGGTCTCACTCGGGACTCAGCCACGCGGGCAGAGAGTGTCGTGATTGTCCCTCCGCAGCTCGAGTGGAGCGGGACAGCTCTGCGGGCACCTGTCGCTGCTCTCGGTGCAGAAAGCAGAGTCGGGACGCGCTCGGGTGGCACTGCCAGGGCTGAGCGCGGGTTGAGCTCCTCCTGCGCTGCCGGGCGCGCTCGGATCCCCAGCTCTGCACAGTGGAAATTTTGCCCGTGTTGTGAATTCAGCTCACGGCCTGGTGTCCCCCGGTGCCTGGCACAGGCGGCGGAGCTTTCCTCGCCAGGGACTGCGCGAGGGAACAGCCGTGGCATGGGAATGAAGGCGCTGCAGCTGGTCCATCCTCTCCCGCCGGGGCCGGGGGATGCAGCCCACGTGGCTCTCGAGTAACCCGCGGGACCGCATCGCTCTCAATGCCTCCTCAACGGAATTTTTAAAGTATTCCCAGGTCCATCCTCCTACAGACAGCACGGCCCGCCGGGGCTGAGCAGCCCAGCGCAGCCCCAAACCCGACCGGAGCGCCCCGACTCGAGGGAGAAGCCGAAAGGGAACTTACTGCGCTCAGCTGGGTCTTATCCTGCTCCCCGCGCCGGGCACCGCCAGGGCTCTGCCAACTGACAGGCAGCTTAAATATTGCCAGAGAATCGGGGTTTGCCAGCAGAGCTGTTAACAGGGTCACAAGGAATGAGAAGGAATATTTATAGTCAAAGTTAAACTAATTGACCGAAGTTACTCTTTTGGTCTCCCGTGGCTCTGGTGAGAAGTGTATTATTTTCACTATCAGGGCTCCCGGGTCAAACTCCACGGAGTGCCATTCTCTTAAGCAATCTGTGCAGCTACAGAAGGGACACAGAACAATAAAAAATCCCTGCTGATGTCCCCTCGAGCTGACAGCCCGTGGCACAGGGAGCAGCTGACAGCCAGTCCCGTCTCTGGTTTGTGCCTGAGCCTCACACAGAGAAGGATCCATCCGTGGGCTGGGATTTGTTGCACATTGCTGAGGCTGTAGGTTCATCCCAGAACTGATTCCCCCTCTGGGACTGGGCTGCAGGTTTGGCTTCAGCATCATCTGTCTGAAAACCCTGATAAACCATTAAGGTCAAAGCACACAGAGAGAGATGCTGAAGAGAGACCTCACAGCACAGAGAGATACCAAGGCAGGAGGCACCTCATACATCCCTCGGGGTGCACAGAGCCCCAGGCAGCACTGCTGAGGAGCTCCCTCCTGGGCAGGAAACCTGTGAGCTAACCCACACCCCAGCAGTGGAGTTACCATCTGAAATTCTACTGCAGGTGACCCCCTAAGGGCACATTTTAACCTGCCAAAGGGCAAGGATATATGGGATATTGGGAAGGAATTCCTCCCTGTGAGATGCTGAGGCACTGGCACAGGTTGCCCAGAGAAGCTGTGGCTGCTCCATCCCTGGGAGTGTTCCAGTCCAGGCTGGATGGGGCTTGGAGCAACCTGGGCTAGGTGTCCCTGCCCATGGCAGGAGGGGGACTGGATGGGCTTTAAGTTCCCTCCAACCCAAACCATTCTATCATCTATGATTCCATGAAAAACTCAGTGTCTGTATTTTCTCTCACTGTTTCCCTCTCAGAGTTCTGATGAACATAACTAAAGCCCTTTGAATCTTGCTTTAATTTGATCTGCTACAGTCTGGAAAGCCCAGATTTTCCCAAATCATATCAGAACAAGGTGGATCCTCAAGGGCTGCAAAAGCAGCACTCAGGAGCCTCATGCTGCCTCCCAGTCTGTGCTGTATTTTATCCTGATTTACAGCCCTTCCAGCCTGAAGCTGAGATCTCTCTTTGTCTCTTTGGCATCTTTCATGGCACCTGGACAATCATTACAGGTCATGGCCCTTCAAACCATTCTCAAGATAGTCAGAGGGAGGCTTCATATGTGGTTCCACTTGAAGATCCTGGTGCTATTGTATCCCAGCTGTGATCCTGTCCCACCATGACTTTACTCAAGCTGCTCATTTCCTCTGTGAGAGTCTTTTTTCCCCCCGTTTCTTTCAGGAAAGGGTGAAAATCCTTAAATAATGCGAGGTCTGGAATGTAAACCGGGATTTTCAGGGGCAGGGTTTGCCAGGTTGTGATGGAGGATGGCAGTGGCACCCACGGAGCAGGAGCACCACGGCTGCATTCCCTGCACTGCCCCTGGCTGCTGTCTGGGTTGGTATTGCCCTCCAAGGACAGGCTTTCCTGTGAGGATGACCCTGTGATCTGGCTGACACAGGAATTCTGTCCAGGCTGAAGGAGAGGCTTAGCCTGTGCGTTGGGTCTGGGGAGGAATTACCTCATGTCTGCTGCATCATAACCAGCAAAATGGGAGTGTGCAGGGAATGATGTGATTGTCGTGTGGGACATGGTGCAGTGGGGGCTCTGGGACAGCTTTCCTGCATTCCTGTGGTGGTCTTGGGACTCAGTCTGGGTGGTGGGAGGTGTGACAGCCACACCGGGTGGCTCAGGGTCTTGGGGCTGCGACATAGACAGGTGGGATTGGCCAGGGAGGCTGAGGAGACATCAGGAGGGGTTTG